CCCCCCCCCCCCCCCCTCCCCTCCTTCATTTACTGTTTTTAGTCCAGCAGCAATGCAACCAATTGTGCGGCGATACACCTGACTCACCCCCCCCACACTTCCTTCTCCCCGACTTGTCCTCGTTTTCTCTCATGTGTTCGTATGCATGCGCATGTGTGTGTTTCGTTTGCAGTTTTACCAGTACATCCGGAAATACCTGTCCCTTTACCCGGACACGGCGGAAATGGATATCCCCCACTTCGAGGACTTCGACCTGAACAACGACGGCGTTGTGTCCTTCGACGAGTGGCAGATGTACCTGGACCGACACCAGCAACAGGTGAGAGCTTGAAATTGAAGCTTCTCCCTTGGTGTTCATTTGGAGTTGCCTCTGTTGGAGTGGTGTTCCCTCTTTTTGGCTCCTACAGTAGTTTCCTCTTTTTTTAGCGTTTTTGGCTCTGAAATCCTCAACTGTTTGCATGAAAAACCGGTGTCAAAGCGTTAAATCTTGATTCTTTTTAGCAGGTATTGTTGTACCTTCAAAGCTTCTTATTTGCCCTATTTTTGTTGTAGGAATGAGAGCACTGTTACCTCCACGCTGGTAGTAACAAAACTGTCTTGTGATCTGTCTACCTCGACTGGTACCGACCTGCGGAGAGGGGAAATTAGGACCGCACGCGCACTTGCGTTTGCAGCGCATCTCAACAGCGGCAGAGTCTAGTCCCGGCCTGTTCATCGGGTGTCACTCGTATTGTGGAGAGAAAATATTGAGCTGGTCGCAGGCGAAGTGTTGAATTGTTTTCAGTATTGGACCCGATGTTGGACCTCGCGTCGCCTGCCCCCTCCCTTATCAACCCAACGTGCTTCGGCTCTGTCTACGGTCGAACGACTTACTGCTTGCACCCACTGAGTCCCCCCATGAACTTTTTTGCCTCCTCCTCGCCCCCCACCTCCCGGCTCTCCCAGGATCCTTATGCCGAGAACGACCTGATGCGCGGCATGTACGACTCTTCCGCTGGCTCGCAGGTGTGCATGTGTGTGTGTGTGTGTTTGGTTATTTGCATCGACCGCGCTAACCGGCTGACGAATAAAAAGACGTCAGTCTCAGTGCGGTTGAACACACAATACACTTGTAAATGCCATCAACTGGGAGGGGGGCATGGGGGACGCTAAGCTATTCTACGGTATGTGTGCGTTTGTATTTTTTTGTTTTTCGCATCGACCGCGCTAACCGACAAGAGACGTCAGTCTCAGTGCGGTTGAAAAGAGAAATATGTGGACACCCTTCGGAAGTTTCGCAGTGCGAACGCGTCAATGCGCAAGGTTGTCTGGCTACAACACTAAACCTTGTGACTCTTGGTGTTGCGAAGAAGAACACGTCAAGAAACGGCAGCCTACTTTTTCGAACGCCACATAAGAATGACGAGGGCACGTTGCGCTGAGGCTATCGCGTACATACATACGGTGCGCATCCGTTCGTTTTTTGTGCCCGCAAGCTGTCTTTCGCCTTGTGAACGAATCAACCATCTGTACACGATGGCATACGTGCCTCACGATTGATGGTTTCATCGCTGTTTTGTCGCTGTTTTGTCGAATCCTCCGCCATTTCTTTCCCCAATGTTTTCAGAATTTCAACACTTTGGCTCAGAATCTGCGCACGCAAGGACGGGCGGGCGGTGGACGTTACTAAACGGAAAGCGGTGGCATACGTGCCTCACGATTGATGGTTTCATCGCTGTTTTGTCGCTGTTTTGTCGAATCCTCCGCCATTTCTTTCCCCAATGTTTTCAGAATTTCAACACTTTGGCTCAGAATCTGCGCACGCAAGGACGGGCGGGCGGTGGACGTTACTAAACGGAAAGCGGGAAAACCACGAGTGCATGTTCCAGATAATCATCAAGCCTTCACGGTTTTATTTTGGGTTTCCGTTCGAGGCCGTTGGCGTTCTAGGGGGTGCGAGTGCCGTAGTGCTCTGCGTGGGAAGGGAAGGAGGGGGAAAGAGGGAAAAATGCGGTTTGGTTCGGTAAGTCGCAACCTCAGCGAACCACTATAGATTTTTGTAGTCAGAAGCGCACGTTGTTGTTCTGTTGGTGTCGGAGGAACACGCACGATGTGATTCTATAACTGGGCACATTGCAAACAAGAGTAGGGTGTGGGGGGGGGGGTTCGACCGGGAAAAGGGGGGGGCGGGGGCATGGAATG